CCCCAAAAGAATGGAATGAGTGGACAGGGAGGCAACAATGACTGGCAAAACCCAGCAAAATCCTAGGAGCTATATTTCATGAACTCATGCTTCTTTAGACTATTCTGGAAGAGCTCTACAGCTTCATTAAACATAGTTCCTTCAGGCCAGGGGTTGGCAACCTATGGGCCGCGGGCCAAGTGCGGTCCGCGGAGGCCTTGGGACTGGCCCGTGGCTGGTTCTGCCGCGAGTGCTCCGCTGCGCGCAGCGCAGGGCACCATTTGGGAAGGCCCAACAGAGCAGGTGTGCGCAGGCGCATGCTGCCCGTGCCGTTGGGCATTCCAAAATGGCGTCCCCCACAAGCGCACGCAAGCACACCGGCCCCCAGCGCCATTCCCCCCCCAGCTCCCGGCAACAAAAAGTTGCCGACCCCTGCTTCAGGCAGTGTAGCATGATGATGGATTTGGTTCTTCCATTAGATACTCAAGGTAAAAATAGTTTTGATCACATGCGTCTCTTTCCCATGGTGTGGATACTGTGCACACCATGCTTCTATAGCTTCTTCAAGTACTAAAACAAAATGATGGATTTTGGCCAAATTATTGTCCTTGAAGATCCTCCCCTTTATGCTTGCTAAATACAGTGGGCCCACGATATTCATGGGGGATCCGTTCCAGACCCTCCCTCCCATGCAGATACCAAAATCCATGGATGCTCAAGCCCGCGTTGTCCCCAGTGGTGGCGCATGCATGTGGCCATGCTACCATCAGGGACAACGGGAAGTCCCATTGGGGACAACGTGGGCTTGCTGTCCATGGATGCTCAAATCCACAGATGGCAAGTCTGCAGATATCGAGGCCCATTGTAGATACACCCAGCGCATAATGAAAAAGTACCTTTATACTTTGATGTAATAATTCTCAGTCCAGCTGAAAACAGTACTGCAATGGAAATAAATAGGACCTTCAAATCACAGTTACTTTTTTCCTTACATTAGCGGCTATCATGTAACTATTTGTTAAGAATAGTCCTTTTTCTTTCTGTTCTTAAAAGGTTTGTGATTCTTTGGTGTTTGTGAATTCCTGTTAAAGGGAAGGGTGGATAAGATGTGGCCTTCAGATGTTGCTGAAATGCAACTCCCCTTATTCCTCACTGTCAGCTGTGCTGGCTAGAGCTGATGGAAACTGGAGTCAAGCAATATCTGCTCACGAGTACCCTAAACATATGTTGGACAACAGCAAAAATCTTCCTACACTGCTCATAGAGGTTTGCAAATAAGCATTGCTAGATTAGGTGCTCATAAGCCATCTGCTGCTGGCTTTGTTTTTCTGTCTATAGTGGTGGTCCATTATTTCATATGGCTACTGATTAAAGGATGGTGAGGGATCTTGTGATACCTTACTACAATATCATAGAGCTATTGAAAAAAGGTAAATACCTGAGACTTCCTTACAGGCATGGGATGGTAGGGAAGATGGAAAAACACAATATCAATGGGACGGTGTATATGTGATCAGTGATGAGGTTTCAACATCTGACTGCACATTTTTTCTCTCTCCCATTATCTCTACTCTGACTGGAGATAAGAGAGGCTGTTTAAAGGTATTCAGTCCTTAAATACCTGGATGGCACTGTGCTGTGCTTTGCAGGAAAGAAAACTGTTGTACTGGGATTTACTCCTGAGTAGGAGTTCATGGAACTGAATGATTGGTTTATGATGGTGGGAGAAGAGCTAACTTTAGGATATTACAGCTGAGTCCGCTTACTTTGCTTACTTGGCTCCACTTACTCTGTCCTTGGCTCTGATTAATATCAAATTGGAATACAGCATCTAGGCTTTAAAAGGTCCGTAGGCTTAAAAAGGATTTAGCATGACAGTGTGATTGGGATAATTTAATATATTCTGCATTTTTTATACTCTTGCAACACTGCTACATTTTAAACCTCTGTATGTAATGCAAAATTGCTTTTCTCATGCTTTCATAGAAAATAATCCAGTTCTCTAGAGAAAGCTGTGGGATGAAAATGATGTATTTCAGTAAATACTTCAATTTGGTGAATTTTTTCATGGTATTTATGGCCAATAAATGGATTGGTTTCCTATGGAGAGAACATGCAATGCTAGTATATTAGGGATTTCTTCTGATGGATATATTATTTGGATTATCTCATATACATTCTCCCTTTTTTCCTTTGTGAAGTTCAAATGTCATTACTCTTACAGAAGAGCTGTCAGAAAGTTCTTGCATTTGGTGGTTCGACATATATATGTAGCTGTGTCTGAAAGTTTTTACCTCACACATCCATCCATGTATCAGTTTTGTTGTTTGTCAAAAAGCTGGAAGTGCAGGAACATTCTTATTTTTTCTTATCCTTGTTAATGTTTGAAACACTTGTAGCTTATGGAACATTAACATAGGAAATTTGTTTTTGGTAATGCTCCCATGAATGGGAGCAGATAACACTTGACATAGAATAGCTTTCTGTCCCAGAAATGGGGTATTTCTGATTCCTTAAGGGACACTCCTGACAGTAAGCCAGCGATTGTAGTAACCTGTCCCAAATAAACAGATGCCTCCATAAAGCAGTTCAGCAGTCAAAAGGTGGAATCTAACCATGAAATGATAAAGGTAGTATCAAATACAATAAGGGAGGATGGGTACAGAGCACATGCCATCACGATGCAAATATCTGAAATGCAAAGCCTTTTTACATTTTACAACCTTTAACAACCCATTTACATTAGAAAGTGCAAATAGTGGTAAAGGCTCTTGTTCCAGTCCATGAACGCCTTTCCTGCTACCTAAGGAAAAACTGCTTCAAATGGTAACAGGCTAGGGCAGTTTTAAAATATAATTTTAACCAGCAGAAATAGTATCTCCTCTTTATAGTTTTGCTGATTTATTTATTCTGAATTTCATTATTACTGTATATACTCATGCATAAGTCTAGTGATTTTAGTCAAAAAACGTGAGTTGACCTATCTATGTGTCAATGTAAGTACCATATCTTAACTTTTATCAAACTAGGAACTATCGCATTCTCTGAGTAGAGGCAAAAGGTAAGAACTTAATCCATCCTAGGAGAACCTCAAAGAAGTACCAACCACTTCTATTCTCTGTTGCAGTGCCACTTTTAGCCTTTTTGAATGTCTGGGTGGAAAAACAGCAGTGTGCTTTGGTATACTTTTCCTTTCCTTCAACCTTTGCATCCTTTGCTACATGCCTCTAAATATTACCCTCAAATTATCTACGGGCTACATCAAAATCCATAATTTTGGTCCCAAAGCCTGCCCTCAAATTACATATGAAGTTGATTTATGGTTCAGTATGTATGGTAAGTTTAATTTAATAATGCAGAATTTTTGTTTTTAGCAATGGAAGAATTAATAGTTGAACTTCAATTGTTCCTTCAACTTCTGGACCATGAATACTTGACATCCACAGTCAGGGAGAAAAAGGCAGTCTTAAGTAACATTCTTCTGAGGATACAATCATCGAAAGGTCAGTGTGAGATTGGTTTTATTTTAATACGGTATAGAGAGAAACAAATCTGGTATTTATATAATGCACAAGGAAAATGAAACACGAAGTTCTCTTTTTGTATATGTGGTGTCTCCAAATTCACACATGTGGCCTCTGCACATGAGCAAAGAGCTTTGGAACATTCTAGAGGTTTTGTCAGACAAGAAATTCTGAAGTATTTTTTTCAGGCCTTAAAAGGAAGGTACTCATTTCTCTTTTGACTGGCATGAATGCAGTGCTCCAATAGTGTTCTGTGAGTTTCTTCACAGAAAAGTTTAAGGAGTCTTTTCAATAAGGAAACTTTTCCTCT